GAGCATAAAGAGGGGCAGACTGCAGAGAATTTAGGTATTTTTTTAAAAAACAGACTCAAGGGAGCTCTGGTAGCCTAGTGGCAAGATGGTGAGCTGCAATCCCAAAGGCATACAGTTCAAACCCACCAGATGCTCTGCTGGAGATGGAAGGGCAATCTGCTCCTGTACCAGTCAGATCCAATTTGATGGTACACAACAAGAAAATTTTAAAAAATAAAAACATTTTTTAAAAAAACCCAAAAGACCAACATGGACTCAGTCTTTTTCCGATCACCATACAGCAGCTATTTTAAAAAACATCTGTGATAAAATGCGCCCCCACACAATAGGGGATGACAATGCCCATTAGCCAGGTATGGGATGACCCTGATATAAAATAAATGAGCCGTGGGGGCTGTCTCAGGCTTCTGCTTTAGCACACTAGATCATCCAAAATTCAGCTTTCAAAAATTCTAGACACAGCCACCTTTTCTCTCTCAATTCCCAAGTCTTGCCAAAACCTCTAATATAAAACAGAGCGTCAAGTACACAGTATGTGGTTAAGACCACAACCTCTAGGTTTAAATCCCAACTCCACCACTTAATAAAAATCTGAAAACATGCTGCCTTCAAGTAGGGACTGATGCATAGCTGACCCTCCAGTGGGCTTTCAAAAGCTATAAAAAACATAAGAGATGGCCCATCTTTCCTCCTGTGGAAAAGCCGGTGGATTTGAACCATTGTGCCTTCACGGTGACAGTACAATTTCCTACCCACGAGGCCACCAGAACACCACTTAATAGCCAGCTACATAAAAAATACATAGCATCTCTGTACTTCAGTTTCCTCATTTACAACATGGTGGTAATACATACCTATTTCACAGTACTATTGTGAAAGTTAAATAAATTAAAACAGTAAAGCATTTAGGACAATGTCTGAAACAATACCTTATATGGGCTTGTTATTAATAGTGCAGTCTCTCCACTACATATTTGAGCAGAGGGGACACATCCACAGCAACCCCCAGTGGAGGGGAAACCAAAATCTCCCTGGATCTATATGCTTGGAGAAAAGCCCAGGATCTTTATCCCTCATACCCAGAGAGCTTGCAGATGTCCCGGATTCTTGAAAGGGCTTTGGATAACAGAGAAACAGAGGTACTCACCTCAAACAGTGGACCCTAGAACTCTTTCATACTCACCTCTTCCATTGACTGGTACCCTGGAGTACCAGGGCTGTAAAGCTGTCCCAGCTATAAGGGATGCAATGAACAACCAAATATGCAGGTAGGGCAAGGACAGGATAGTTAAGCTGTAGCCACTTTAGGCATCACTAACCCCTACAGCTTACCATCAATCTTCAACTTGTACTTTTTCTTTTTTGGGGTTTTTTTGTTTGTTTGTTTGTTTTGGTTTGGGTTTTTTTAAATTATTATTAATTTTAATGAAAGTTTACAGAGACTTTAATTTTCATTCACTCATTCATTTCATTCATTCACTTTTCTCCCTGCCCAACCTCCCCCTCAGTTAGCTCTTCTCTTTGAAAAATGAACTTGTACTTCCATCTCAACAGAAGGATCCAAAAAACACAATCCTCCTCCCAGGATCAGCCCCTAGTGAAAAATCATTATAATTCACTTTCCATTGTCAAGATAAAATATACTTTCAAATTGTATCCACTTTCCCCAGGCTCCCTCTGGGAGTGTCCAGAAGGTTGCATTCCTTTTACCTCACCTTCTGGAGTTCTGCTACCAGTCACAGACCACCTGGAAGAGGGGACAACCTCCAACTTAGTTTTAAAATTGAAGCAGGATCCCTAGCACCTTCCTTGAATTCCCTTCTGTCCTCTATCAATTCCCAAGTGCCTAAAAAATGTCCATTTCCTCCTCATGCCACCCCAACATGATTTCAGGCCCTTCATAATCTGGCTCTCTGTATCACTGCAATACATTAAACTCTAGTTGTTTCCAATAATCCACTCCCCCGTGCATCAACTCTTTGCACATGCTGTTCCATCTTCCTCCTGGAATGCTTTTCCCACCCCCACAAACTCAACAAACTACTGACCCTTATCTCATCATGAGCTATGCTGACTCTGTAGCGGGTTTCAAGCACAACTCATAGTAACTCTATGAACAAAAGGCCTGAAGCCTTTCTACAACTATTGGCATTTAACAAAGTTCATGGAGTTTCCAGAGGCATGTTGTTTAGGAAGTGTATGCCACTCCTGCTCCAGTTAATCAAACCCATAGGTTAATCACCCCAACCCAGCAGTTAGCTAGTGGATTCAAGTCCCAGAGCAATTCCTTATCACACACAACCAGAGCTCCATCCTTATTTGAGGGCTGTATCTATGTCCTCCATTATACAAATATCCCTTTACGTATCATTATTTTGAACATACTATATGTTAAAGGATCTCCTGGCAAGATTTTCTCATCTCCCAGCCTGTGAACTTTTCACTGTATGCTTAACTCCAGAAAAGGAATCTAATATTTATAAGATGGAGGAGTTGCCACATGTTAAGTGGGGAAAGCAAAGGAAAAGGTCAGGGCCACAAAGCAAGCAAGTTTAAGACTACTGTCATGCCTACTGCCTTCAGTTTGATTCCATCAGTGACTCTTCAAGTGCAGAGTGAAATTGTTAAGCATTAGGTTTTTAAGGCTGTGAACTTTTAGATGCAAATCACCAGACTTTTTTACTTGTAAGTAGGTTCAAATAATCAACCTTCTTGTGAGTCAGAAGGGGAGCTCTGGTGGCCTAGTGGCAAGGAGCTGCAACTACAATCCCAGAGGCGCACGGTTCAAATCCACCAGATGCTCTGCCGGGGAAGGAGGGACAATCTCCTCCTGTACCAGTCAGATCTGATTTGACGGTACACTTACACAAAAATAATAAAATTTTTTTTAAAAAAAAGTGGAGCATTTAGCCATTTCTGCCACTAAGGACTCTAGAAGATGAGCATTACCGCTATTAACTGTTAACTACCACCACCACAAAAACATACTGCCTTCTCCAGGAGCCTAATATCTTCAGGAATCAAGACACTAGAATCCCTTGGCTTTCTCCAGATTTCTTATCATGAAGTGCCAGGAGTCAACTGTGACGCACAACAACCTTATGAACAACAGATCTGAACCCTACTCTATCCTGTGCCATTCTCACCATCTCTCACATACTTGAGCCTACTGCTACAATCCATCTTGTTTCAGAGTCTTCCTCTCTTACAAATATCTTTCATCTTTCCAAGCATGATGTCTTTCTTCCTCCAAGGACTAGTCCCTCTAAACAAGGAAGACTTGTTTGTTCTCTTGGCAGTCCATGGGATATCCTGTACTCTTCTCCAAGACCACAACTCAAAGGAAAAGACTATTATCTTTACTGTCCTACTTTCAGATGCATAGCAAATAACTGAGACAATCGTGGCTTGAATTAGGCACACTTTTAATTTTTAGGCTGACATTATGGCTCTTTAGTACTTTGGAGAAGTCTCAGACAGCAGATTTTCCCAATGGAATATGTCTTTTGATTTCCTGGCTGTTGGTACTAAGGGTGTTGATTATGGACCCAAACAAGATGAAATTGTTGACATCCTCAATCTTTTCTCCATCTATCATGATGTTGTCTATTGATCCTGGAGGGAGGATTTTTGTTTTCTAGATTTTGAGATGTGATCAATATTGAAGCCTATAATCTTTGATCTTCTACTCCAAGTGCTTCAAGTCATCCTGACTTTCAGTAAGCAAGGTTGTGTAATCCGCGTAACACAGGTTGTTGATGAGTCTTCCTCCCAACCTGATGCCACATTCCTCTTCAGCTCCTCCAATTCAATGATTGGAGCAAATCCAATGATTTGCCCAGCATACAGACCCAACAGGTACGGAGAAAGGATCCAACCCTGACACATACTTTATCAGACTTTAAACCATACAGGGCTTCCTTGCTCTGTTTCAACAACAGCCTCTTGGATAACTTAATTTCCAACAGTCAATCAGCTGTAAGCCTGGGTCAGCCCTGTGAGTCAATCAGAACAAATTCAGATTTCCCTGATGGTGGCTCTTGGTGCTCCAAAACTGATCACCTAGGAGACATTTAAGGAGAAAGAAGTCCTCTAGTTCCAATTCAAACCACCTAAAATCCAAGAGAGACCCCAGCAGAGGAACTATTGGATTGGTGTTCAAAAAGCTCATGAGTGGAAGGGAGTTGACCCTTTTAGCTGACAAGAGCAACTCTTGGACCACTCCAGGTCAATAGTTTTAGATCTCTGCTACACGTGAGGCTCTGGCTGGCTCTGGCCCACCAGTGTGCCAGCCTACCTAGTCCCCAAGGAATTAACAGTCGGGATTACACTTTCTGAAAAATGACCAGTACCCCAACTTTCTCCAAGATTTTAGCCTAGCCACTATAGAGTAGTGGTTCTGACGGTCAGCCTAGCTCATCTGTTGAGTGGCGTGGAGTCTCTGGCATAAGTACTCTCTCAACTTCACAAGAAGTTATATCCACTTCCCAACTTCAGCCTACTATGACAAGCAGAAGCCCTTACATTGGCAACTACGCCATTCTCCCCAAACTCTAAGGGAATCTTCTGAACAACCAAGGGGTATTGGAAAAGATATCCAAAGGCAACGGTCTGTCAGCATCAAGGTCCAAGGAAAACCAGGCCTTCCAGGACAAAACTACCTTATTGCACTAGAGTCATTAAGGGACGTCTACATCCCTCAGAGTGAAGATCTATATCACCCACCCAAGACCCAGCCCAATCCAGACCTAGATTCTCAAGATGCCATGCCATTGCTGGGTTACAGCTGGCAGCAGACCTCTAAAGAGGAGCTCAAGAAATGTGGAAGCCGGAAAGGGGTGCTCCCTCCATCCTTCCCTCAGTGTGGAGCCCAGCAGTGCGCCATCACCGTCATTCTGAACCAAAGAATAGCACAGACAGGCGCAGGCCACAGGACTGAAGGAAGGGACCAAATAGTCCCCACCGGGGGTTCTGAGGTTTCCTCGCCCTCGACCCCTCACCGAGGGGAAAGCGGCTCAGGATGGATAACTGGCCCTCGGTTTCCTGGGCAAAGGCGGGGCAGGAAGGGTCTCTCCGCCTGAAATGACACAGCAGAGGCCAGAGGCCCTTCAAGGTATCTGTGAAGCCTAATTCCTTTCCGCACCAGTTCTGGTTTGCCCCATCTGGTGAAGGTCCCATTCTGTGATAGCTTTAAGGGTTTTTATCCACCACCCCACCCCCGACACACATCCTTTCCGATCCCACCAGCCCATTAACCTCCCAGCTGCTGGTGGTTCCACGAAAGCGCCTCCTAAACCCTCCTCATTGCACATGGCCGGCGAGCAACACATTCATTCTCGTGGAATTTCAGGCCAGCTCCGGGGTGTTGGCTGCGCTGGCGGGGCAAAACCAGAGGGAGAAAGCCAGTAGGGGATCGTCTCTAGTCACGTCCTTCCTAACCCTAATTCCCAGATGGCCCCTTAGCCAAGGCCCAGTTCAACGGCTGCTAAGAAAATCCGCGCACTCCGCTCAACTACGGCTAGCATGAACCAAGGCGCCGGGCTGGCTGGCCGCCTGGGCTTCCAAGGTCATGGGAAGGGGTCAGGGTAAAAAGGGGAAGTGAGTGAAGGTGCTGCCTCCCACCAAGCTAACCGAGGGGAGCTCCTTCCAGGCGAGGCGGGTGTCCGGCCCCGCGGGCGCAACGTCTCGGAGAAGAGCTGAGCCGGGCGGAGGTGGGAAGCGAGGGCGCGCGGGCAGCAGGAGCAGGACACACAGATCGTGGACCCTGAGTTCGTGAGGGCGGGGAGACAATGCCCGCCCGGCTGGGCAGTCCAGGCCGCAGCGCCCGCCCGCCGGACCCTGGCTGCTCCCTCCAGGGCGAAAGACAGCGGCGGGAAGGCGCCGGGGGGACAGACAGCCCTAGCCGCGCAGCGGAGGAGGCCCCCACAATCCTCTTCCACGCCCACCTCCGCGTGCACTTCGCAGTCCAAGTCCCGGGACCACAGACCCACCTCCTCCTCCAAGGTGCTGCCGGAGCTCGTGCCCGTGCCGTGCTCGCCGTCCGGCTTCAGGTTGCTCATGGTGCAAAGGGGAAGGAAACGCCGAGGGCGAGCCCGGCGCCCGGCCCCGGCGGGGAGGTGGTGAGAGGGGCGCGGTGACCAGTGCGCTCCGGGAGTGCGGGGCGGAGTGGCGGTGGGGGGAGGGCGCGGGGAGGTGAGAGGGGCAGCGCCGCACTGGCTGGGGTCACATCAAGTTTGGCGGGTGCAGGAGGCAGTGAAGAGGTGAGGCAGGGAACCTGAGCCGAGCTGGGGCGGCCCTGGCCTCCGCCTTTTCACTGCGACCGCGAGTGAGCCCTCAGCCCACCCTTCCCAATTTTGAACCATGCAGTGTTACCCTGCTCTGTTCTGACTACTGCTTCTTGGTCCAAGTACAGGTTTCGCATTAACACAATTAAATGTTCTGGGATTCCCATTCTTCTCAGAGTCAGCC